TTATCGTCGCGCCACAATTTAATGCAATATCGAAATTTATTTGTCAAACCGACGATCTTTGCCAACGATCTATATTCGCCAAAGATCGAAATCTTTGAAGGACACAATTAAAAATTATCACCAGGAATTGAAACCTACTGCTTCTTCCGTTGCTTCTTCCACTTAAATCACGATATCTGCGTACATCAGGCGCGATATGAAATATTTCAGATCTTTACTTGTAGTCAATCATGCGCTCCGTTCCGCGAATCGTCTCGTGTACGTCGCGCCGTACTCGTCTTGGTGTCTCCATTACGTCGGGTGCAGCAATCGCTCGTTTACAAGCAATCTATCCCACGAAGTGTGGTTTCTTCTTCATGTAATGACCTAGGTTATACAATTCTTTATCCAACGATCCGATTTTCATGAAAAATACTGCAAATGATAAAAGTATATCGCACTGATATGATTGTGGTTAAATTGTAATATTAGCACTTATATCACAAAGTTCTCTCTCTCTCTCTCTCTCCCTCCCCCCTTTCTCACCCCTCTCTCCTCTTTCTTTCTTTCTCTGTTTTTTTTCTCAATATCTAGCTCTAGGCAACCCAAAAGTATATCACAAAGTGTTTCAGTGCAACATGAGTGTTGAAAAAAACGATATCAGTTATATATAAGTTTGTATAACTGGTGCGATAAGTTAGAATGAAACAAAATATATTTGTCTGCACCATATGCATCAGTTCAGACAGTTTAAAAAGAACACATCTTATATGTTAACTCCGTGTACAAAACTGGCTCATGAAATATGGTAATTGAACCAACCGTGTACCGCGAGAAAAATTAATTATAATATCGAGATTACCGATACCAAAGACGAGTTTTTTAATTCATCGATGGATCCATCGCATGATGCGTAAATACAGCGAAACATTGCATTTGTGCATCATGCGATGGATCCATCAATGAATTAAAAAACTCGACCCAACTTCGAACGGAGCATACTTCGCACGTAACCGCCATTTTGTTTCGTCTGTTTTCCTTCGAGATTCCGTTTTATTACCTGTACACGTGTCTCTCAGAAAGAAAAATCAAAAGTCCAGGCTTATAAAATATTTGACGTAAAGTTAGTGCTGTAGATAATCCCCAAACAGCACAGATCTCCACAGGACATCTTAAAGATATTTTGAGAATATCTCTATATCCTGAGAACATTCACAGGACATCTTCTAAAGATCTTGTGCTATTTGGGTTACAATTCCAACTGTATTGCAGCTGCTATCAATTCAACCATGAAAGTCGTAAGATAGATTGGAACATCAGTCAAACACGTTTTAAAAGACACAATTTCCTAACTTAATTACATCAACAGTTCGAACTAGATGAGTGATAATTGGCCATTCTTTTCCAGTTGCATAATCTATAATACAAATTCAGGGATCGAGGCAATAATCTGCTCAAAAAAGTGCATTCCCTCTCCATGTCTCTCTTGTTTCTTCTCTTTTATTCTTCCTCTCTGTTACCTAACGGACCCAATTTATGTTTTCCCTTCTTCCTTTTCTAAATAGAATGTTCCTTCAAAATGGATATTCGCATTTTTACGGTCTTTTTTATGGCTCTCAATTAGTCTGTATCTTTTTCTTCTTAAGTTACTTCGTTCTTTATTTTTCCTTTTTGTCGCTTCCTTTTCTTTTTTCGAAACAGTGATTTCTGGATAGGATCTTGCTTAGCCTTTGTTTTTATTTTAGCCTTCTTACATTGGCTTTTTTATTCTGTAAAAATACGCGACGCACGTCGATTTATGTGCCGGTGCACAGCCAAAGTACTCGATATCTAATTAACCTTTGATCGTGTTGTTTGGGTATCGGTATCATGATACGCGAGATCCTGAAGGAGAAAGAGGACACCGCCGGCGAAACGTGAGGGAATATATTCGGACAGCGCAGGCGCGCCGTACGCGCAAATAGCGTACGTCGTGGAGATCTCTACAGTTCACTTGCACACGAAGACTCGCACGAGGATCTTAGATGTCGGATTAGGTATGGGATGTACTGGTTCGCCGCGAAGGCGGTCGTTGGTGCACACCCACACTTCCATGCTTGCTTTGGTTACTTTTCTCCAGACGAGACACGCGCAAAATCCTTCGCATTTTAATTCTGCTTGTCTTTCTCTCTCGAAGGCACGCGGATCTGCGAGATCCTTCGTCGAGGACGGCAGCGCGCCCACTTTCGTCGAGCACTTATATTTTTAAAGCAAATTTCGCAGTAATTTGAAATTAATCTGAGCAATGAAATATACGTACTGAATATAAATTATTCTCATCCATTGTTGGAATAAAATTGAATGTCATAGTAGTTGTGAGAACTAGATACGTTGTCATCACTGTCGCCTCGAACAGATAACAGACTTTACACTATATTTTGTAGAGCTGTTTTATTTAACGTAATGTCATTCACAAAAGACGACTTGCAAGGATGTAAATAGTAAAGATCGCCTTTACTTTCTACATATATCTTGCCTCTATAACGTAAGTTTGCCATTCGTTTAATTGAAGGAACATTCTATTTAGAAAAGAAAGAAGGGAAGACATAAGTTATGTCCTTTAGGTAACAGAGAGGAAGAATAAAAGAAAAGAAACAAGAGAGACATGGAGAGGGAATGCACTTTTTTGAGCAGATTATTGTCTCGATCCCTGAATTCGTATTATAGATTATGCAACTGGAAAAAAATGGCCAATTATCACTCATCTAGTTCGAACTGTTGATGTAATTAAGTTAGGAAATTGTGTCTTTTAAAACATGTTTGACTTTTAATTGTATATTCCAAGAAAGACTTAAAAAAATATCAGCATCAATAACTAACACGTAAAAAATTATATCATGTAAGTTCGATTTATATTCTGATATCCGCATCTTACACACTTCATACAGGTACTACATCATCTTGTATTGATTTATCAATTGCATTAATTTACTTTCTGCACTCTACAATAGAAAAGTCAATCGATAACTTTTTGGTTTCCCGAAATTTTGTATATCGAACATTTAAAAATCGCAAGTTATTATTATAACGCATACCAAAAGAAAGAAAAGTCTCTGTCTCTGTTACCGAGCTACTTCAGCTAATTAGGTGGCTACTTCAGCAAAAGTATCTTCTTTACGACGGATACTGGACATATTTTAGAATTTTATGAGCTACCACGAACTTGCCATCTTACACTGTCACGTTACGTCTCTATTGTGAATATCTACGCTATTATAGTACAGCTTACTTTCCGTTCATCTACATACGCAGTACGACCCGCAACTCACAACTTTAATCTTAATGATATGAAAGTAGGATGGCTTGTGTGCATACTTTTTATCATGCGGTTTTCCTGCTATACATAAATATTTTACGTAGCGGCTACTAGTTCTACATTGTTGCAAATGCCTTTCGCTCAATCATGATGCAACATTCACGAGTGCTTATGCATCACTGTAAATAACTTGCGCATCACTGTAAATAACTTGCGCAATAAATGACTTTTGCAATTGTTATTATGAATCTGTTATCACGGTTGTATGTGCGTGTACTATATGATTCTTACGTTTACGTTCGAGATAACTTAATGATTCTTTTATTTAAAACCACGATTTTTACAATCGCTCTTGTATCTCAACAGACAGTTGTGTTCTCCTCCTCCACCTATAGTCCTTATAGGTAGAGAGATAATACGGAAAACGATGATCGAAAGAGGAATCGTACATATCATCGAACCTGCGATTCGAGGCTCCTTGTTACTTCTACGAAGAGAGCGAAAGGGGGGACAAACGGGAAAAGGAGGGGGAGAGCCGAGATCACGATGGAAAGGGAAACGAAAGGGGGGAAGGAAACGAGCGAGCGAAGAAGAAGCGATTACAGAGCGGGCAGAGAAGCAGGCGAGCGTGAAGTAAAGAGGGAAGAGAAGAGAAGAGGAGAGATTGAAACTACTGGGAAAGGCAGAAGGGCGAACCAGTAGGGAAAAGGAGTAGCGGAACGAGGACAAGTCTGCGTGCAAGAGAGAAAGAGAGGGAAAGAATGAGAGAAAGAGAGAGTGGCGGAAGGGTCGCTCGGCGCAAAGGGAAAAACGTAGAACAAAATGGGGAGAAAAGGGCGGCCAGAGTCACGGAGAAAGGATGATTGAGCGACTGGGGGATTGAGAGAATTGTCCGTGGAGAGAGAAAGAGGGAGAAGGTGCAGGGCTAGAGAGGGTCGTATGCGAAAGGGAAAAAGATAGAAAGAAAAGGGAGACAAGGGCCGCCGCTCTCTCTCTCTTTCTTTCTTTCTCTCTCTCTCACTCTCTCTCTCTCTCTCTCTCTCTCTCTCTCTGTCTTCTCCCTGCTCTCCCTCGCCCCTGTAATAGCGGAGAGGACAGGAGAGATGGTAGAGAGCCTGGACGTTGGGAGGAAGCCGCGACGGGGTAAACGCAAGACGGGTGAGACGTGCGGGAACAGGGGATAGGAGGGAGCTGGTAGTCGTAATCCCTGCTAGTAACTACGCGCGGGAAGGGAAGGGAACACACGGCATCGTTGTGAGAGGGGCAATTCCGTGCCGCTATGCCAGCTCGAAGTACGTACACTATCCGGTCACGTAGAAAGAGAGAGCCGTTTGAGAGACAGAGAGGAAGAAAGGGAGTGAAAAAGAGAGCCTGATATAGTGATTGAGAGGGGTTGTGGAGAGCGAGAGAAGTGAGGAGGTATAACCAAAGCGGTGGGAGAAAAATGAAAGAAGGGCGAGGGAGAGAGAGACGAGGGAGCGAGCGACAAGCTAGTCGAGTAACGGAGAGACGAGAGTGAACCGCGTACTAGTAGTCGCATCGGCAACCGAAGGACAGAAGAGAGAGACGACGAACGAGTGGAGGGGAAGCCACTCTGCGAGGGTGCGATGCGGCGAGAGGGTGGGGAGCGAGGGGACGCGAGCGGGTTCGAAGGGCGGAAAGGGCGGGCGGGAGAGAGGAAGGGGAGAGCAGCCGGAGGGGAAAGGGCATTCCCACTCCGCCGCGCGTCGCGTTTAGTTCGGCACGAGACACCGTCGTCGTTGGTTCTCTGTGCGTGGTATCCGCGCTCTCTCACCTATCTTCACCGCCGTTCCTCGTTAGTAGGCCGTCGCGCGCTTAGTTCCGCAGTGCGCCGCTTGGCGCTGTCCTCCGGCTCCCGTAATTTCGTAGCCGCCCGTCACACTGTGCAGTTTCCTCGCCATCGTTCCGTCGACAGCGGGAAGCCTCCCGTTTTCCCTCGGCGTTCTCGCGAGTTGCGTCAACGACAACGGCGACACGACGACGCGTCGTCTGACGGACGCGAGAAGATGATCGCGGCCGGTCGTGGCCGCAGCTTAACGCGCACGTCGAACGGTGAGATCGCGCCGTACCACGCGACATTATCATAGGCTGGCCACCCTGCACAAAGCAACCGAGAAGGGGAAGGAAGGAAGAGAGAAAGAGAGAGCGAGATAGGACATGTAAGATTCCGAGAAAGAGAGAGAGACAGAAAGAGACGTTGCAAAGTCCGTCCACATAGCGCTTTCTCAGCCACCGTAGTGTGTCGCCGTTGTGAAACGCGCGTGTGGTAAACACACTCGCGCGCGCGCGCGCGCGCACACACACGATCACACGTAGTAGACACGTTTCGTATACGTTTGAAATCGTGCTAGAAACACCGTGTAGCAGTGTATCGTTACCTCGCTCTCGTCGACGCGCATCGGCCATCAGGCTCGCATGCTCGCACGTAAGTACGCATAGTATATATACCATACAATCGCACGTACACATAGCGATACAGTAGACCGCACACGCATATACTCACGTATACACACTCGCGGCACGCAGGCCGCCGGTTGACGGTGCATACAGAGAACGGTAAGCGCTTACGTTGGTGTGCGAGAGATGGAGCGACGAGACGGACGCTTCTCTCGTCTGTTCTCTCTGATACCCTCTATATTCCCTTCTCCCCTCTTCCCTCACCCTTGTATCATTCTCCCTTCTACCTATATATTCCTCTCTCTTTCTCTTTGTTTTTTCTCATTTTCTCTCTACTATGTATACTTGTATTTATGCGTTTTCTCATTCCGCGCTACTCCGCGTTCTCAACGGAATTTTATAAGATTCGTTGACAAACACGCTGGCTTGAATAAATAACGTTGGCGGAATACGTTATTAGCGCTCGACGTCACTCGCGACATCGAGATATGGAGTGTTCGTTTGCGTTATTTAACGCGACACAAATGTCGTCCGTAACGACGAATATATTTCATTATTTCGCTGTTATTACTATGTCGCTGAATAAAATAGCATTGGGACTTTCAGAAGAGAAACATATAGGTTCACGAAAATATGTAACATCTGGTATCATAGTAGTATAATAATTTTCTTTTATGTAATAAAAAAATAAAATTTTATGTAAATAAAAAAGTAGAAAAAGTAATAAAATTTTATGTAATAAAATCAATGAAATATAACACGATCAACATATTTATTTCATACTTTAACGATGTTTTTTCCACATTTGTGTGTCGTAAACGACGAAGCAACCTAAATTTTACGTTTGAAAAATATAGAAAATATAAATCGAAAAAAAAACTTATTTATATATGTTGCCAAACACGCATGAAATTTTATAAAGAACTTTATGTATAAGAAATACTAAGTAGATACTATATTATCATACATCAAGAATACTAAAATCTGAAAAAGGGAGAAAGTTTCCCGGACCCGTCGTCGAAATCAACGTATACCTGAACTTAAATTCCTGAATTTTTAGACTTTGCATAACGGGAAACATCAAATACCAGATGCTTGAAATGAATCAGTGTCATCTTACTACAACAAAAACCATTAGTTACTTGAATTTGAGGTTTACAAGAATGGATGATTCCTGAGATGGGTTCAGAAAGGGTCTAGTTGCCAAGGTTTTGCCGTAGCGTTCATTTTTGTGCCCGAATAAATATTCTGCAGTTTGACACAGCGACTAAAAAAATATTCAAGATATATTTACAACAACTACGTAATATTTCATCAACAACAAGTAGCTTGCTTTTTTATAATTCGGAGAAAAGAAACATTTCTCGTAAAATCGACATTTAAGGAGGAAGAAAAGAAAACGCGGCGTTATTGACAGAATAAGTGAACCGGTGCTAATCGACTCATTTTCCCCGCTTTTCTCGTTTATGACAGTCGAAATTTACGACAGTCGGTGAGAAGTAAAGAAACGATTATAACTGTCTTTCCCCGCATTCCCCTACTAAGCCGGTTTCATTACGATCTGACCTCGACGCGAACGAAACTCGCAGCTCTATCCGATCAGATGATCAAGTCTCTCTCATTACCAAGCCGAGACGATCAAAGATCGAGCGATCGAGACGTGCTCGATTGATCGATCAATCTCCGATCTGCGTTCGTTGGCGCGAAGCGACAGTTTCCCCATTACCTTCCCCGTTACGGGAAAGGAAAGCTCGCTTCCCCGTCGTCCGTTTTTCGCGTCCTGTGTCTTTCTGGTCGCTAGGTGACTGCGAACGGTGGCCTGGCGCGTCTGCTAGGGTCGTCGGACGCCCTCCCGTTTCTAAGCAGCGCCGCCGCCGTCGCCGCCGCCGCCGCCGCCGCCGCCGCCGCCGCCGCCGCCTGATGCCGAAACGGTATCTCGCGCTGTGCGATTCTGCTTCCGATCGCATCCTCTGCCGCCACGCTGCGCGAAGAACGCAGTGCGCGGCACGGCACGGGCAAGTGATCTCAGGAAATAAGGAGGAGGAACACACGAAGAGGCCGGCGCGATGTAGCAGACGTCGATTCGTAGGGCGACGTTGCGCGCGACCGAGGAGAGGGACAGGGAGAAAAAAAAACGCGAGCGCGCACCGTTACTTTGAGCATTATCCAGTGCTCCGAGAAGAGATCTCCGCCACAAAGGCCGTCTTCATCGTCCGCTTTTGCTCGGTTTTTTTGCGCAACGCGCTGACACGAGCGCGTTACGTACCGTCCCGTTCTGTCCCGTGCCGTGCCGTCGTGGTGCGAGGCGAGGCGAGACTTTCTCGCAGCACGTGCTAATTTCCGAAGCACGTGTGCGCCTTTTTGCTCATGCCGCTGGATTCCCCCGGTTGATCACGTTACGTGGACGCGCTGGATCTCAAGACGACGGTGGTCCTGCTTTGTCGATGAGCGTCACGCGGGGGTAGAATCGCATCGGCGACACCTCGTAGTCTTTCTCGAGGTTTGACACGCGATTAAGGTGTAACACCATGTCGAAAGAAAGGTATACGGAGCGGGCGTTTGAGCTTTTCTCCATGTCGAGTTCTTTTCAATTTCATCGTATCATCTAGCAGCATGAGAATGAACCGTCAATGAGTTTATCAGAGAGTCTGTCAGAGTTCATCATGCTAAGGATAAAGGAACATGGTGAATTGTTTATTCGAATGAATTCCTAAAGTTGATATGAATTCCTAAAGTCTAAACGAAAGAATAAGTCAGGATAGAATGTCGATATGTGCTTTTTAATTGTAAAATTGGTCGTAATTATGTGAGAATGATCGAATCTACATGAAGTACGTTTAGAGAAAAATGTAGATGAAAATTTCATGCGTAATTAAGAAAGTATAGGTAGCATTGAGGTTTTTTGCAATCGTCCAAGAAGTTAAGCACTTCTCTTCATGGGTATTTATTGACAAATTTAACCGTTTTAAAAAAGTGGATAAAAGTGGATTAAAAGTGGATAAAAAAGACGAAAGTAATAGCGTAACTAATAGAAAATAAAATCTTTTCCAATTAATTTTAGGCCTGGATCTTTCTTGTTTTATGCGGAAAGATGTATAGATTGCTCATTAGTAAGACAAACACTCAATCATAATTTTGTGAGTTGGATCATTCGTGCGTAACTGTGATCAATTTTTCGGAATTTTTCTTATAAAATTCTCTCCGTGTATCGAGTTGGTTTCGGGCACAACTATGGTCCTAACATCGTTACCTCGCTCGTCCCTCTTCGCGGAAGTACGAAATAGCGCGGAAAGATCCGATGCCGGTGTCGAGATCGCGACGAACAGAGGACGGGCAATTGAACTGAAGCTTCGAGAAGTTCTTTGATTTCCACCCCGCGCCGACTGACTCGGTCAATGTCGGCGAAGTTATCGCGTCTATATGTTATCTCTTCTCGTGCACCTAACGCCTACTTCCAACTTGTCGCGCATTAATCAATGCCGCGGGAGACGCGTGTCCTCCGTGATATTACGCGGGATATTCGCGCCTTCCTCGCGATCCATGCAAACGCGATCGTCCGCCGTGATGCGCCGCGCTGAGAATTTCGCTCCTTCGTCCCGAGAAGCAGCTCGATATAAATAGACGTAGGTACTAGACATTGCAGAACGCGGCGATGTGATGTTAGCTTAGGCGCGCCTTGAGGGCGCCTAAGTAATCCAAGTAAGGGAGTGCGGGGAGAGGCATAGTTATAATTGTCCTTTCACGTCTTACCGACTGTCATAAGAGAAAAGTAGGAAAAATATCCCGATTGGCTCATTCACTCTGTCAATAACGCCGCGTTTTCTTCTCTCCCTCCTTAAATCTCGATTTTACGAGAGCTGTCTCTCTTTCCTGAAAGAGTTATAAAAGAACAAGCTAAGTGGTATGTGTTAGACAGGTTGGGTTTCAAAAAGATCCGTGTTTCTATGTAACAAACGAGGTCTCCTCTCCGTAATGCGTGTTCGTAATTGCGACGTCACGTTCATCAACCCAGGTCCTGTCTATAAACTACATGAAAACAAACCTACGGGAAAAAGAAGAGAAAAAAAGAGAAGGGTGAAAAAGAGAAAAGAAGTGAGGTGGAAGGTCGCCCGTACGAAAATTCATCTCGCTTAATGCAATAAAAGTAGACGATGAGACTTATCGTCAGGCGGCAAAATACCGCGATATATTCGATCAATACCGCCAGGTATTCGACGGGTGTGCACACGTACGCGAATACGTGTACAACACGTTGCAAGGGACGTTTGGCGGTTTAACCGCACCGGGCGAGCGGAAAAACGGAAAGGACTATTCTAAACAGAGACGGGGATAGAGGACGCATCCGTGTTGTAGTCTACAAGCGAACGGTCGGATCGGAAAGGGATGGCGGGAAACGACGGGGGCAACGAGGAGGCCGTAGCTACCTGAGAACAGCAGTAACAGCAGCCTTCGGAAAAATGTTCAACTACATCGATGTATACATCGATGTCACGTTGCTACCAGCTCTGTACTATTGTCAGCTGCTGCTCTGTGACAAGCTCAAAGCTTATCGAATTAAAATGAAACGAAAGCTAGAAAATCTCGAGACGGGTCTCGAGTGCCAGCAAAATATATTTTTTTTTTAATATAGGTTAACTGATAGATTTTCGTAAAATATGCGAGCACATTTATTTACAATGTTGAGTTACATTATCATAGTTATATGTCTCTCGATGTGTTATAAAATTGCAATTCATTGATCAGATAAATTCTTATAATATATGGACACAGATATATTATAATATATTGATATAGGCATAGTATACATAGATACATATATAGTATAAATACAATATATATTTTTCTTATTTATATATTTATATATTTATATATATATATATATATATATATATATATATATATATATATATATGTATATAGTGTTTATATCGTTACGTACAAAAGAAGTTTGATATCACCCGAATATCGTCGCGATGTTAAAATGCATCGTGATGTATCTTATCATTCTTAATAAAGTCGATACTGATGATCGATTGAATGCTACAGTCGAGTTTCAGGCAAGCGGCAGTGAAAATACTTACGTTTCTCTTTGCAGATCTCGTATTTTGCAATTCATTCCCACGAAGAAATGGCTGACATTGGCAAAAGAGCGCTCTTACGTGAGGTCAACCCTCAACTGATTTGTCCACTGTGCCGTGGCTATTTTGTCGACGCCACAACCGTGGTGGAGTGCTTACACTCCTGTAAGTAAAGTCGAGCTTCAGACCAATTCTAGATTTTTATCGATTACCACTTACGATGACTAATGCGTTGCGCTTTTATTATTCAGTTTGCAGAAGCTGCATCTTGAAGCATCTCAACGAGGCGCCGTACTGTCCATCATGCAAAAATGCGCTCAACATGCGCAAACCACATATCAAGTATGACAATTGTTAATTGTCAGTTTGTGTGTAATAAATTATTATTTTATCCGATAATCGAAATTAGGAATATGTGTATATAGACAATGTTAGTTAATTTTAAATGAAAAATCTGACTATAAATATTGTCCAAAGTATACCTCACATGTACTTTAGAAGTCATCACTATCAGATTATTCATGAATGCAATATTTTTTTCAGATCCGACAAGACTTTACAAGATATTGTGTACAAACTCGTGCCAGGGTTATATCACAAGGAAATGCGGAAAAGAAGAGAATTTTACAAGAAGCATCCCGAGCATGGTACATACTTGTGATTCTTTTAGTGTTTAATATTTCTAATATTTTTTATATTTTTCTTTTTCTCTGTAAGTAACAATATCCCGAGTATATCGAATATTAATGTTCCAACACAGCGGACTCTGCTACGTCGGAGCAACGTGGGGAAGACGTGAGTGGAAGATTGATTTTCGCCCCGGAGGACGCGGTGAGTTTGAGCTTGGAGTATCTGTCGCCGGGAATGGATCCGCTAACCATCTTGAGCACTATGGACGTGGACACGAGCCACTTGAATAGCAGCAACGCCAGTTGCGAGAACACCAATAACAACACCAATAATAACAACAACAACAATCACAACAACGGCAACAACAGAAGGTATCTACAGTGTCCGGCTCTGGTGACCATCGCGCACTTGAAGAAGTTCTTGGCGCTTAAGTACAGCGTGGACATGACGAGATATACCATCGAAATCTGCCATCGACGCGCACCGCTCCCGGAGCATTGGACTCTCATGGACGTCGCTTATATCTACGCGTGGAAAAGAGTAATTCGAAATACTTCATATGTTTAAAATTATTAAGCAATTCGAAATTATTTATGCATATATATGTGTGTGTATTTATATGTATTTATGCGTGGAAAAGAGTAATTCAAAGTATTTTGTGTTTGCGATGTTATTATCTAATTAGAAATATATTATTAAGTAATTCAAATTATATTTGGCTGTTATTGAAAAACAACTATCTTTTGCAGATTGCACCGATGAGATTCTTCTACCGAGTAGCGCAGGAAGAGCAGAGACTCGAAGCCCCGTTGCACCAAAGACCATCGACTCCGGGGCTCGGAGCGTGTTTACCACCGAACGATGCTGTCGTTATCGTGAAGGACTATAGTACGGACGTTTTCGTTGATCGGTCAGCAACTCCAGGATCAGAGGCGAAACAGGCGGACGATGAAGCATCTACGGCGAAAGAGCCAAGCAACGTCACGAACGATAAAGCGAATTCGTTCACGGATAAAGAGAAGACCACGGATAACAAAGTAACTGTGGAAAACAGGGCGAGCGAGTCCACCACGATAACGACGACGACAACGACGACGACGCCGACGACGACGACGCCGACGACGACGACGCCGACGTCAACGGTAGTCGCGAAAGATAGAGCGACCAAGACTACATCATTGTCAAAGTTAACGACAACGAGTGCGACCACGATGTTGACTACAACGGCATCGATAGTGACGAATACGATGACGACAACAATGACGATGGCAACGACGACAACGACGACAACGATGACAACGATGGCAACGACGACGACGACGACGACGACGATGACGACGACGACGACGACGACGACAACAACGTCCAATGATACGAACAATAAGCAAATAAAGAGCCCGATTAAAATAATGAAGAATCCAGACGGTATGTATGAGGTGCTGAAGAGTCCGTCAATGAATAGGAATGGGAAAGAGCAAAGTAACGTTGCCGCTGATTTGCCCGACGTTAAACCCGCAAGTCCCGAGTTCAGTGTTGTAAGTATAGGAAACGGACAGAATTCCAACGGCGTGAAAATCACATTGAAACAATGTTCACCGACGAGTGGCACGAACGTGAAGAAGCCAAAGGTAATAAGTAACATTTTATTGCGTTGTGGTCAACAATTAGAGAAGGACGCATCGAGTCCGTTAATGACTCAACAACTGCAGAAGGACAAGGAGCCACCTATATCACCGCCCGAGCAGGACAAGCAGCAGGAGAAGCAACGGCGCAAGGTGACTTTCGTGGACCGGCCAATATCCGAGAAGACATCTCCTAGCAGCGGTGCTACTGGCATGCCGAAAACCGCGCTGAAGAAACCGGCCGAGCAGCAGGACAAGAAGCAGTTCCTACAGGGTTTCCAGCTGACCGCCAGGGAACCCGTCCCGGAGGACATCAAACTCAAGTCTCCCGTTCGAGATCTTGGAACAACCAGCGAAAATAACTCTTCCCAGAAGAAAGACTGCGCTACGCCGAAAACGGAGGTGTCTCCCAAGAAGGACGTAAAGACGCGCGAGATGATCGACGAGGTCAAAAAGAAGAGCAACACCGAGAACACTGGCTCGAACGCGGCTAACATCAATGTCTCGACGAACATGACCGTGAAGTGCGTCGGTGAAATGTCATCTGGTAATGGTGCGCGCGCTCACGCAACCATATCTTTGAATGATGCCGGCACACGTGCGTCCAGTTCAGGCACGAGCAACTTGGCAAATACGAATGTCAACGCGAACACGAATGTTGCTCATCCGGCGGCTAAGATGGACGTGTATTCTTTTCACTCGATCGACTCGTCTGTTCTGGCCGGAGCGGTGAAGAGAAAGTGTCCACCGGGTGTTCCTATCAACGACCTAAAGCGCAAACGACACCACACCCAGACTCCGAACGAAATGCCAAGAAAAATGGTCAATCTCCCTGCGGATATATTGCCGATGAAGCTACCGCGTGGTTCCTCGTTGGACCATATGACTCCTACGAGCAGATCGAGCAGCGGGATACCCGACTATCACAGTAATCAAAATCGTCCGGTATCCAACGCGAACACGAAAGCGCCTAGTGGTCAGACAATATCGAGCGATCCTAGAAATCTCCTGGACGGCTGTGGCTTAAATATTCCATCGAGTCTGAGCATAACATTGACCTCGCCGAGATCACCCGGATCTTCTCTTTTCCCCGAGATCAGTGATAATAACGATAGTCGAAAGACCGCAACATTGACCAAAATGAATCCCACCATCACGTTGAACGATCGGTCGGTCGATCCGCGAGTGCTAAAGGCACTGAAGACCGGACAAATGAAAATGCCGTCACCGCCGAAACTGACGGTTATCAAGCAAACCGACCAGAATGAAGCACTTCAACAGCTACAACAACGAGCCACACTACCGATGAAACGCAGCAGAAGAGAGCAAGAGTCGATCTTAGATCTCAGCGGCGGCAAGAAAGCAGACATACACCCTCTAAGGATCCCTCAGCCCGTGACGAAGCTCCAAGTTAACAACAAAACGATCAATAGTTTACCAGACGATCAAGTGGTGACGCTCATGGGTGGTCACCGATATTACCGAGCTCCGCCAGGTTCTCTCACACCCGCTGCTCACCGTGTTAACGAGTGCCCGCCGCTTCAGACGCGTACACCTGTCTATGCGCCGAATCTCAGCGATATAAGCCGTACCGGGCCAAATCTCTCGTCCGTTTTCCCAAGTTTGCAGAGCCTCTACGTGCTGAGTCAGTCGCAGTTCCAGTTAGAGAACCGGATGAGACCGCCACCGTCACCATGCTCCGCCGCGGAGAGCATAGCGTCCGCTGTAATCGGCAGCGGCGACGGCGGTGTGAATCCCAGCTGTTTGAGCGGCATACCGAGCAAGACGCATTTGGCCGCTCAGTGCGCGCCCGTGAAACCCGCCAGGTCGTCTGTAGCGTCTCTGGCAGTTCCTATCAACAAGCAGCAGCATTCCATCGAAAAGCCCCCGAGCATCAGCATCAGAAGTGTGCCGAACAACGCAAGAAAGTCGATATTTCAACGCAATAACGAAGCTCCTGCGGATGACAGCTACGGCCCTTCGCGCTTAACCGGGCAAACGAGGTACTCGTCGAGTGTTGAGAACACGAACAAATTTTCCCCGCGCAGTAACATCGACGGTACGAAGAGCAACGAGCAGACGAACGTCGAGAATTCCAAGAGTTCGACCGCAGAAGTGAAGAACGAATTAACGGACAACTCGAAGCAGCAACAGCAACATCACGACACCGCCAGTCCGAGGGTATCGTCGACAGCTTCTCCATCACCTCCTCCTGGCAGTAATGGCGCGAATTCACGAAACGAGAGTACTACTATTAGCCACGGAAATGGCAACGGCAACAAAGCCTCCAACGCGGGAGCGGTTAGCACCGCTGCGAGTGCGACGTCGTCCAGTCTGCCGAAGAGCAACGCTGACACGACGAGTTGTAAGTCACCAGCGAGTCCGGACTCCAGTTCAGTCACAGTAGAAAGTCCGACCGGCAAGAGTTGCGCGAGTTCGACGGACCGTACGCTACCGACTGACGGTCGGACGACGACAGACACGACGATGAAATCCTCCGATTCCACTGTCAACCCGGACGACAGTGGCGTCGCCGACGGCACGGCCACGTCTGTCGATAGCAAGAGCAGCAAAGTCGCCAATCCGCCGATCGACGCCAAGCAGCAGGCGTTGACTACCGAGATGGTCCAGAAGAGACTGCTCGCGGTTTTCCCATCGAACGAGTGGGCGAACAATCCCGAGGCTGCCGAGCACTTAGGAAACTTTCTGAAAAGCCTGAACGCAACGATCAAGAGCGACGGACATGCCGACGAGTCCAAGACGGACAAGACCGAACGAAAGCCCTCTGTCGCGAATGACGCCGCGAAAATAAGCGACGATCTCGTCGCGAAGCCCAAGAAAGACGTCGTAGAGCACTCGTAATGGTTCCTTCCAAAGCCCTTCAGCGTGATACATGACTGTCCATACGACGAGTCTCGCGCAGGATCTTTCTTATGGCGTCGGTGACGACGAGCTTCCAGCTGCTTCCTCCGTAGTGACGGTCGTCGCGTCTCAGCCGACGAGATCTCGCTGATATCGCGCACGGTTAATCGCGCCAAAAGTCTATATTTTTACTCAACAATCGAGTCTTCAAGAGGGACAGCCTGTGGCGACATGAGGAAGAGGAAGCGCATAGTGTAGTTCAAAGGGACGCGAAGCGAAACACTGCCATAACGAATCAAAGAGTGTGATTTATCGTTTTCGATTAAGGACGCGCACATAGTTGCTATATACGTTTTACTGCGCAGAGGAATGTTCTTACGAAAGAGGACGAACATATATCATAAGGTTTATACACAGCATAAAAGAGTAAACGTAAAAGAGTGTAGTGTAAAAGAGACAGAGTTTTATTTTTTCAAACTTCTCAAAGAAGCGCGCATCTTTCATGATACATACATTCGTAATGAATTGTGCGATTGACATGCATGAGATCACTTTACCGATTCGAAGCCGTATCATTGCATGACATTCTAGAAGTGAGAAATTGTGGATCTACTTGTGTCTGTCGGGAACGTGTGGTTTTTTTCATCGATGACTCAACTCACCGATGAGCAAAATGCCAACAGTGTGTCGGCGGATTGACGACAGACTCGATCAGAATTGATCATCAGTGGTCGCATTGAACTCGTCTCCTCTGCTGAAAGAGCTTGCTGACATAACTTGACGGGGCCTGCGTTCCATTTAAATACATTGGAAATAACATACTTTTACACACTAAACAAAACTAAAGTCCAAGTAAATTAAAATCCGCAGTATATTTTATTGAAATGACTATGAAACAACAGATCCTAGTGACCGTATTTTCGAATAGTAAACTACAGACAAAAATTCCCAGCAGACCGGCGCCAAATCTGTCAAGCAAGTTTGGCTACCCAAAAGGGCCACTAACAGCATATTGACCAGCACTGTAGGGGATTCTACATTGGCCACTGTAGATTCAACATTGACTGCTTTGTGCTGCTCGATGTGTATTTGCTTGAACGCGGACTAATTCTCTTCTAAATAGAATATATACAGATTCATGAAGGATTAACGTTTCATGTTTATGAGTTTTCTATAAGTCATTAGTCATAAGCCACAAGTAAATTGGCCCAATCATAATTTTCAAGAATAATCGAACGTGGTTGGTCGATTTGGTTACAGCTTATGAAACTAATGGCTTGTAGAAAACCCATTAAGAGGATGTATTGGTCGTTTAATGTTGATATTAACATGATTGATGTTATTAATACGTTCGCGCCAGCGCGTGATGAGGCTCCTTTGCAAATAGCCGGTCACGCACCAATGGATCTATGTTCAGTTAAAGTGAGCTGGTCTATCGGACTTTCAAGGGTGGTGTGTCCCTAGATAGCACAGAGAATTAAAAAAGAATTCAGTCGTATGCCACCAATTCTGAGTTTATTTTTAGATGCAAAAAGAATTCTCTTCACTGAACTGAACCCTGAAAAATTCTTTTTGCATCTGAAAATGAACTCAGAATTGGTGATATCCCTAACAGATGTCCAAGAGACATCCTGAGAACGTCCTGAGTATGTTTCTACATCCTCAGGACGTCTCTGGAACATCCCCAGAAGATCCTGTGCTGTATGGGATATGACTGAATTCTTTTTGAATTTTTTTTTTAATTCCCTGTATTATCTAGGTTGTTTCAGATAAGCAGCGAATGTGTTAATATCATGATATACGATATAAATACAGTTTAATATGCAAACTTTGATGTACAAACAGAGACTGTATTCTGTACACGTTTACCGACAGCTATCGATTCGATGTGTCTGTTGCGTAGCTATTTTATATGATTATATTTGCGCAACGACAAAAACCGAACCAACAGTTGTCGGTAAGCGTGTGCAAAATATAGTTCCATGTCTTTGTTAACTGAAAATGGAAGGTGCGCGATATACTTCATTCTTGGAGATTGAGAGGAACTTTCTCAACATATACTGATCCGAATGGCATTGTTAGTATCCTACTTTTTATGTTATGTTTTACTTTATTAGTTACGCGCGTTATACTATATATACATATATATAGTTGTATAATAAAATTGTTACGTTATGCAGTTTTTCGATATACCGCTGTATCATATTGATTGTATTATTTTGAAATTGTACATACTTATTATTAAAGAACTTTCGTGGAAGCGTCTGTTAATTTGTAAGATGAAAGTCGAATTTCATCAAGAGTGTATTTCTTGTGTTTTGCATATTGACTTCGATGAAAGAACTAAAGTATGTATGTATGTATGTCAGTAAACGAGAAATACATTATACTTGAACATACATTAATTTGTACTATTTCTATTTTTTTTTTTTTTATTTGTCTTACATAGTAACATTTCATTTGTTCCTCTCGAGTATTCAGGCGTGGAATTTTAACCGTTACTCGCTGCAAATTATTTATTTAGGCCTAGTTCCATAACCTTCAGTTAACTGGCTGATTATTCCATTGGACCAATCGCATTTGAAATTAAGAAGAGTTAATTAGAATTAACTATCACTATTGGGACTTAACTGGTAGTTAAAATTAAACGGATGTGTGGAACTTGGCCTTAGGGTGCTATTTCACGTGTCGTACGACAAGCTTTTCGGATATATTTATTGGTTGGCGAATAGAGTATTTCTAGATTCTCTATTCGTCAACCAATGAACGTATCCAAAAAGCTTGTCACGACACGTGAAATATCAGCCTTAGACTTCTAATCAGTTATCGCGGCTGTATTGAATTGGTGACGTCAGAAATGAGGAAAGATTCCCAAGATTCTTGCGAACTACAGTTAAATAAAAAGATATATCATTAAAATGATACTTGTAATCTGTTCTACACATTTGTGGAATGCTCTGGATACTCCTTTTTTCCCGAAATAACTTATTATATAACCACAAAATAATATGGTAAATCGCTTCGTTTGGACAGAAAGTCAACTGTGTGGTTCAATATCGACATGACAAAATAACTACTTATGGCTCCTGCACACAGGACGCGGTAATACTGGGAGCGGTGCATTTGGACACAGCCAATCACAGCACCGTGTGATTAGAGACATTTGTAGGGTCCCTTGGAACAGCGACTTGTGATTGGACTGTGTCCAATTGCCCCGTGTCCAACTGATATATACCCGGTAATACTTGCCGTGCGGCGGAAGTCCACGCGACAGCCAATCAATATGTTGTTTTTCCGTAGGAGCTAGAAGGTTATTACGGAAAGCAGTATATTGATTGGCTATCGCGCGAACTTCCGCCGCGCGGCAAGCATTACCGCGTCCTATGTACAGGAGCATTATACGTATTAAACCCTAGGTGATGATGGATTATATCCGGGGCCAATTCATGATGGATGATATACATGTTAAGTTTCATAATAAGCACAGTGGATAAAAGAGGAAACAAGAAATCTCTCTCTCATCCCGCACGCCTCAAGAAGCAGCGCGCGTTCCAGGTAGTATATGGGTGGTATTCATAGTCCGATCTTATATTTAAGATCATCTTAAGTACTGTCTTAAAATGTCATGAACCAATTACAGAGCCGTATTCATATTTAAAAACATTATTTAAGACGGTCTTGAAATAAGATTCGACTATGAATACCGGCCATAGTGTTTCTAGTAATAGTGCATCTGGGCAGCAATCATGTAACTTTTCCCCTAGGGTGGAAACGTGAAAAGTGAAAAGTTTCACGTAAACTTATGATCACTAAACTCGGCGAAGCGTAGAAACGTGAAACTTTTCACGTGAACTTGTTAGCTATGAAATGTGCTGGCAGAAAAGTGAAAATCTAGTGACATGATGAATACGGAATATATTATACTACTGCTGTGATGAGATACAGGAAACATAACAGTCCTAAGATTATAGCGATGTTTTTAAGGTTATATGTTCTACAACCAATGAATACAGCTAATTTGGCCGATATTAAAATTATATAAGAACCATGTTTAGTGATTTGTGCTTTTCACTAGAGATGCCCGATTCTTAATCGATTCGATTTTTTCTCTAACAAATTTAGGGAAAAAGGGTTGTTCGTGCTACTTGCATATTTCTTCATACTTTTCTCTTTTAAAAAGAGATGGACACCTAATCAGACGCTTAGAAGAAACAATCAAGTTGGTTGTCTCGTTTTTGTTTCTTCGAAACATTCCAATATACTTCTGTCTAGTTTTAAATACGAAAAATGCGAAGAGTGCAAACAACACGAATAAGCCTATTTTTGAGGAAAGAATCGAATTGATTCAGAATTGGGCATCTCTACTTTTCACGCATAGAGTTATTTGATTGCGTGAACATTGAAAAAGTTCACGTGAAATCGATAGAGCGAAAAGTGAAAACTGAAAAGTTCCGCTCGAAGTTACGTGATCGCTGCCCAGAACGTTGACACATGAGGTTTGTTCGCGTCGCATGCCCTAACGTGCTCCTACTCGCTCCAACGTACTCTGATTGGTCCGCATGGTGACGTGAGCCAATCTATGGTGTCCGATCTCTTATTACAGGATCTCTATACGACACCAAGCCATGACGTCGGCCGTTTAGTTCGGCCACATCCGTAGACAATCTCAGAGGGCGTGACTAAAAACCGGGACCTGGAAAAAGTCGGGATAACCAGTCGGGTTGAGGCAGGCAACATCGCGGTTCGAGTTTTGTTGATTTTACATATTTGCATTTACAGAAGCTTCGCAGCTTCTATCGCGTGTCGATCGCGCGCCTCGAGATGAGCACCAAGGAGAATTCCACGGCGCCGGCGAAGAGCACGAACGCGGCGAACGCGAAACCCTACGGTAAGATTGTGCTTACGTTGAAGAATTGCCTCTTGCCGGAAGAGAAGCTCAACTCCACTCCATCGTATTTGGACGGCTTGGACGCGGAGACCGAAACAGATTTGCGGATATTAGGATGCGAACTCATACAAACGGCCGGTATTCTCCTTAAGTTGCCACAGGTAAACTTTCTTTCCTGACACATGTAATCTCAATAATGGATCAATTTAACCTAACCTTCATAATCTCTAAATAGCAAACTTCTCGCTTGTTATTTCTCGTATGAATGCACACATTCGCTGTGTACAACTTGTGAGTTTATTGTAAATTGTAAAATGCAATGTATACTTAGGTTACGTTTTATTAGACGTCAACGAGAGTATTGTTACATCAGAAAAAAGCTTAGTGAGCTACTGATAATTAATCTTTTAGACAAATCATTGAGAATTCGTCGATGAAACTATTTACTGTTTACGAGTTTACGCGAAGGAAATAGATACACGGTCGATTCACAGACCAGTGCTATGACTTTAAAACGCAACTAGAACCACATAAACAATCCCTTAGACCTCTATAGCTTGATGTACTTTTGCTTCTCGATTGATGCTGTGTGGTTTGTGGATGTTTCAGCAGTTTCTCGAACATCCAACATCACTTCAGCCAGACAAACAAAAAGTGAACTGATGAAATGCACTAGGGTGTTCATGAAACTTGTAGTCTGCTCTTTTCAGCTGCACTGCTACAATAAATTAAAGTGACATAAAATATGTTTATCTAACTTATTGCACCAGTGCAGCAGAAAAGAACAGACCTATTGGCAATAAATCCACAAAGGATACAACATTAACCTGGAAGTCAGATCAAGCAATAATGACTGATAATAATGATATTAATGAGCTCTCAATTAATGACTATTACTCAATTAATGACTATTACTTATGATTTATATATTTTTTCTTGGACTTATTAAGGATCTAAAAGAGTAGATGTTTTAGGTACTTTAAAATCTTGATCAAACTTGGATATATATATCAACCAAATCCAAGAACTTATTAAATACTTAATATTGAATTTTACACAAATCAGCATTTGCAGAATAAATGCTTACAATAAATGATTGGAAAATTATGACGGTTAGGTTTTCTCGAAAGTATAATGCTTTACTTATGTTGATTTCTTTTACTTTGGCTTATTTAGTATGTAGAAATATATATTTATTTTAACCCTTTGTGGACAGAACTGTACTAAATATATATTGTTCATTTGATATAAAAGCAGCTGAAAATGTATGTACTTTGCAGACTGGATGGCTAGAGTAAACAAATGAGTGGCTACATGTACACCGGATGTAAGCCGACGTGTGTCCAAAGCAATGTAGAAGTATGGACACCGGAATTATCTCTGCTAGCGTCCCTGAAGGGTTAAAATGGATAATATTGATAAAAAATTATAACACAAGACAGTGTGATCTAATCCCTTGAACTTTTTCATTTTGTGTAGGTCGCAATGGCTACTGGACAAGTGATATTCCAACGATTTTATTACAGTAAATCGTTAGTTAGGCACAATATGGAGACAACTGCAATGGGTTGCATCTGCTTAGCTAGCAAAATCGAGGAGGCACCTAGACGCATCAGAGACGTGATCAATGTTTTCAATCATGTTAAGCAGGTTTCTAGTCAAAAGTAAGTGGTCTTGCGTATCTTGAGTAATTTAAGTAACGTGTATGTTTATGTATAACAATAATGTAGTATTACTAATTAATAATGTAGTATTACTAATTAATAATGATTTATTAACAATAATTAAACCAAATTGTACGATATGTGAATGAAGAAAAATGAAAGAAGAAAATAAAAAAAATTTGTCTTTTACAATTTCAGGCCGATAACACCTGTAATTCTCGATCAGAATTACGTAGCACTGAAGAATCAGGTGATCAAGTCCGAGAGGAGAGTGCTGAAGGAGCTGGGCTTTTGTGTTCATGTGAAGCATCCTCACAAGATCATAGTGTTGTACTTGCAAGTCCTCGGATACGAAAAGAATCGCACTCTAATGCAACAGAGCTGGAACTACATGAACGATTCGTTGCGCTCCGACGTGTTCCTGCGTTATCAGCCAGAGACGGTGGCATGTGCATGTGTTTATCTGGCCGCTCGTCAACTACAAGTGCCACTTCCTACCTCACCGTCCTGGCTCTCGCTCTTCCGTGTCAACGAATCGGCTATCAGGGACGTGTGCCGTCGTATACTGCGCCTCTATTCCCGGCCACGCGTTAAGCCTGAGCAGCTAGAGAAACGTGTAGAAGAGCTGCGACGTCAGTACGAGGAAGCCAGGACCAAAGCGCGAGGCGGCGACGTCGACGGGCACACACCGAGTCCGCCATTGCCGAAACACCACAACGCCTGGGGTGGATTCATCAGTCGCAGCGGTACACATGCGGCTCCGGAAAGAACAAAATCACCCAGGTAATTATAATAATGTTAACTTTTCCCAACTCTAATCGCCTGCAATGATAGATTAATCTCGATATTGTATTTAGTCGAACTGTTATTTTTTTCTTCGTAAAGGAATTATCTTCCCATTAATAGAACAGAATTATAAATAAATTGAATAACTTTACTGGACACCACATAATAGTTGTGCATGAAATATAATCAGCAAGTATACGATCAAAAGGCGAAGTAGTAATGCTGGAGCTACTGTTAGTAACGTAGAAGTACAGCAGTGTTCTTTTCCATGGCAACAGACTCTTACTGATTCTCAGCGAACAAAGTTTATCAGTGCTTTGGCAATTTGTTTCAGACGCTCGAAATCACCGAGTACTTCGCCGTCACGAGGTGAAGGCACTAAACATTCCAAGCGAAAGAAGCACAGCAGAAGCAGATCCCGAAGTCACAGTCCACGCGGCAGATCCTGCAAACCCAAGAAAACTCAGCGGAGACGATCAGGAAGTCACAAATCGTCACGTAGCCGTTACAGGTCGCGAAGTCGATCTCGTGAGAGGGATTTGGAGAAGTCGAGCAAACATCGCAGCAAACATAGGCGGCATTAAATTTATACAATCGATCCTCGACATGTAAAATCGGTTACATGCGAATTACACGGATTATATATAATGAAGTTGGAAGCTTTACCAAATTGTCAGAATTGAGAAATATGGGGCACAATAATAATATAATTAATAATATAATTACTGTGTGGAAGCCCATTAGTAATTATTCTCAATGATGGAATTTGGTGGAATCACGAATGTATCGTGAGATATCACGATTAAGCTTAATAAATAATTGATTTGTAATATATATATATATATATATATATACACACACACACACATACACACACACATATATATATATATATAATATATATACATAACATATATATATACATATATGTATGTATATATGTGTGTATATATATATATTTATATACACACATACATGTAATAAAACTTTAACTAGGCCTATTGTAATTTACCTGGAAAACATTTGGTTTCAATGAATCCTCGTGGTAATTAATGGATTATATATTAGATATCCTTATTGGCATGTTTTTGTAATAATATAATTTACATAAAAAATTGAGATCATCGAGCTTTTTATAATGTATGCAGTCTTGTAATATACCTTTGTAAACCTTTTTATATAAATCAGATCCCACTCGAACGCAACAGAAATGTTTCACTATGTTCTTATTTATTACAACTTTAAAAATTAAGTCGAAATTAGTCATAGACAGATGTACATTGAGAGAAAAATTAATTCTCCGTTTGTTTAAGTTTTGTAAAACCGACGTGTATACCTCAAGCGACGTGGTACAATGTTACAGTAAAGGTATGAAAATAAAGAAATTTGAGGAAGGTATGTATCGCAGAAATATACAACGTAAGAATAAAGTTTTATATTCGTATTTCAGGCTGTATCATTTTTGCAAATCCGACGGGTAACGCCTTTTTCTTCTCCGCGGCGATCACCGGCGAGAAGTCAAAGACTAACAGCTTCGGCAGGAGATGCACGACGTAACTCCTGTAACAAGAGATATCCTCGACCGGGTTACCGTGTAACGTCAAGGATCTAAGACTCGACAGCTTCTTCAGCTTTAGAACGTCTGCAATGTTTGAGATTTTATTTCCATGCAAGTAAAGGATCTTCAAATTCGGGAACTGCTCGATATCCTCGTCGATCTCACTAATCTCGTTGAAAGACAAATCCAGCCAGCTAAGCTGCACTGGATCATCCAGAACTCTGTTCGCGAGACGCTGCAGGCCTTCCATCGAGTTCAGCAGATTGTTGCTCAGCCACAATGTACTGGTCACGTAACGATCTTTCATGGTTCTCGTCGGTGCTTTCCCGGTGCGTATCGTCTGCGCGTAATGTTTCTCCATGAGGTCTATATGGAAGAATAAGTGTCCAGAAGTGCGACAATGTAATAAGAATAATAATAATCCTTCTATGATAGCATATCCTGCAGTACTGATTCAACATTTCTAGACTGTTAATTCCTCTGATCGATCTTAGTTTTATATATAAAAATCTCAACTACGAATTATTTTATGTACTTTAATATATCTTTGGAAAATTGTTTAGGAAGATTGTAAATTATTTTAGTATTTTATCACAATCCACACATAAGTTTCTAAAGATATTCAAAAGATACTTTACTTTTTTTAGACAACTTTTGATGTCTCCAAGAAATGTTTTGCAAGTTTATGCTGTCTGGAAATTATAGTTTAAAATACTAAGTGAGAAAAAAAATCTTAGACACTCGATCCAGCCAAAGAATAATAATCATCACTGTTGATAGCCAAGAGTTTGTTTTGTGACAAATATTATCAGTGCGCCTTCAAATTGCAAGACACTAAAGTGTGTTTCAAAGGAATCTGTAGGTAACAGTCTCTCTTTATGTACCGTTCATGGTAGCGGCTTTTCTATACGATAAATCCAACGGCGGAGCAACGAGCATTTCCTGTCGTTCATCTCGTCTATAATCGGATCTATGACTTTTCGAAGGATAATTGGCACTTATCATTATCGCGGGCATCCAAGTCTTATCAGAGAGTTGTCAGATTTCGAAGACATTTGAAGTTCGCGTCTTGTGGCTTTTCGATGACAATTTTTGATACGTTCGAGAAGCTCGCTATTAGCGCTATTCAGCGCTACATCTAAGGAGCGATAAAAATAGAAGAACGCGGTAGCGTTGGTAGCGTGCTCCCCGAACGCATTCTTTATAGCATGTTCGATTGGACTTGGATTAATCGACCCAAAGTCGATTAAAGACGCCTCAAGGTTTTACTGGCCAATCACAAAGCTTATATGTACGTGTTTGACCCATAAACTTGGATTTAATAGTCCAGAGCGCGAATGAATTGCTATTAAATCGATGTAACGGGTAAAAAAAGTATTCTTGCCAGGTAAAACGGAGAGTACATACTTTTGCATAAAGACATAGGCCTATATTCTGAATCCTCTTTTATCTATAAAAGTGCTTTTAAAGGAGGCTTAGGAGCCACCTGATTGGCTGAAAAGCTATATTTAAGGCACTTTTATCTACTTTTATCTACTTTGATCTATTTTTATTATAAAAGAGGATTCAGAATATGGGCCATAATGTACAACACATAAGGAAACAAACCAATCAGAGTCCTCATTTCTATTACCATGATGAAAAGGAAAGACTCTGATTGGTCAATTTTCTTATACGTTATGCCTTTATATAACAGTGTGTGCTTTCCACTTAAAACGTCCTTTTTAAGGAAATTTTATTCGATACTCTACAGTATATAAAAGAAAAGAATAGCTTTTTAAGGGAGAATTGAATTCTCTATTAGAAAGCTGTTCTCCTATTAAATATCGGACGTCGTACGTTGGACATTGGACACGGTGTGAATCCTTCATAAACCGTTTTGGCGCTGACTACACACATCAATTGCGAGACTACTGCGCATGCGTCATTAACTTACATTTGTTCAACGGCGGCGAGCGTGGTGTAAACAGTTGGAGGTGAATCAAACCGTTAACGGTTTCTGCCGACGTAACATCGCCAAGAAAACATCTGAGCGAGATCCTGCCGGATGCGCGCAGTCGGGGCTTATCGTTCTCGCGTCGTGATTTCCGGAAAGCAACGAGAATTTCTGACTTCGCGTTTAGCGTGCCGAGCGCAGTCGTACGACTTGCGGCGATTACCGGCATCGCTCCCGCGCACGAGATGCCGCGAACCAAGTACACACGCAAGCCCAGGGGCGCGAACGATTCCCTGGACAGACCTGACAGAAAGCTGAAGACTTTCGAACGACATGTGCAGAACAGCATCATCAAGCTGCAGCAAGAAACTCAGGCGGATTTACGATCTTTCGAGACCTTCATCGACGTGATGATCTCCCGCCTGCCGTTGGAGATACGCCAAATGTCTTTGAGTGAGATATTGAATCTCGAGAACGACAATTTGAAGAATTGCAACGAGGTGACTTCGTCGGAGACGAGCTGCATGCGGCCGCCCACCATGGCGATGTCAACCGTGAGAAAAATGACCAAAACCAAGACTGCTGTCAAACGCGCCACCGGCGTGTCCGACGACGGCTACGCAACCGAAGGAGGCACCAGCGTCGGCAGCACGACACGTGCCACTAAGATAACGGCGCCAACGTCAAGGAGAACGCGCAGTTCCACCAGGACAAGTAAGGTAAAGCTCGCATTAAACGAGATCAATCAGAAGACCGTGAGAAAGCCCAGAGCAAGGAGCAAGGAACACTTGAATGTACCTGTGCTTAAGACGGACAACTTCAAGACCCCAGCTATGCCGAGAGTTGCTGCACACGCGTACGATGTCGTCACACCCAAGATCAAGCCAAACACACCTATGAACGTACTGAGGCGTCCGCGTCAAGGCGAGATGGTACTCAGCATGCAAGGCAGCCCCTTGTTGGTTTCCGCAGTCATTGAGGAGAAAACTGCCAATGTCAACGTACCTCTGTCTGATGGCAATATGATGTCCTTATTGCCACAGGAAGGACTGCGTGTCTCACATATTCCACCACTGGATGATGAAACAATGCATCAGTTGGAAACACTTAAGAAACACATTGAAAAAGTTATCGCACTGAAGTAATAGTGAATATTTGTTATAATGTTATTACAGTGTAGTGTAACTATAAGCAACCTAAACTATTTTTGTATTTTTACACTTACATCTATATATATATTTGTATTTACTCGTAATGAGAATAATGGAGTGCTTGCCTTGCTCCGACGTAGTCAATAATTTCTTTCATGTAATTAGTTTCAAGAAGTTGTTGCTTGACATCAGGTGGTTTTTATAATTCCAAATTCTTGTTAATTAATTAATTTTAATTAGATGTTAATTATGCTGTAAATCTTTATGGATCACTTGACATTTCTTGGCTAGACAAAATTTATAGTAAACATACCTTTTTTCCGAATATCTCCCTTGTATGTCAATGAATAAAGTATTTAATCGTAAATAACAGATAAGATCTTTATTCTGAAATCAGTAGTCACTAAAAATGCTTCAATATGTGACTTGTAAATCTGATTGGCTTCACATTTCAAGACTTTTATCGATAAAAGAGAGTTTAGAATAAAAGAGTTTTGCGGCAAATATTACGTTTTCTAGAAAAAAATTTGAATAAGCATGCTTGAAGACTAAATTTTTATTGGTTGCATCACGAGTTTGTGGGTAAATAAAGCTTTTATATCAATTGGTTATGTGCTAAAAAATTTGGGAGATCCCTAGATACATTAGACACACTTTGGTTATGGGTGCTTTCTAATTGCAATATCCCTAGACACTTTCATGCATACGGCGAAACAAGTTGCATTCCAATTGTCGTAATCGTCGACACAACAGGTTTGTCGCGTCGCATGCCCCAACGTGCTCCTACTCGCTCCAACGCGCTCTAATTGGCTTACGTCACCACGCGGACCAATCAGAGTACGTTGGAGCGAGTAGGAGCACGTTGGGGCATACGACGCGACAAACCTAACACTACACATCCGTACTCAGCTCGAGGGCTACTAGTCGGTTGTGAAAACTAGTGTTTTCTAGTGACAATTAAAGTTAATAGTGTAGCGGCTTGAAAAGAGATTGGCATTTACGACGTGAAGTGGATAATATCTTTTTTAATATTTAGATTTTATTATTTATTATTAAAAAGTACCAAAATATAAGCACAGTTGAAAAATAATCCTAATCCTACCCGACATACGTACATATTAGTACACACTTTGTTCCAATCGAATCGTGCATAACGTTACACTTTGTGCATTTCTGTGTACATATGTGTCAATATGTGTTAAACAATTGGAAAGCACCCAAAGGGTCAAGCACCCGAAGAGTGCTTTCCAATTGTTTAATACATCTGGACACACATGTACACAAAACCAGTTTATTGGTCACATATTATATAAAATAATTTGTAAGATAATATGCAACCAATAAACTGGTTTTATGTAATACAGTGTACGTAACTGGAAAGCACCCTATGACTTCTGCAGATCCTTAAGTATTGACAATACAATGGCCATATCTGTACGTAAACTGAAACTTAAATCAACACACAAAGAAATCCGTAAACTTAACATGTTACGGATGTTCTTATGCGGAGATTCTAAACTTGTTGGATATTAGCTATTTTCAAACGGTTTACACCTTCAAAGGACGTCCTAAAAATATTCTAATAACGTCTCTTCGTTCTAAAAGCGTCTTCAGAACGTATTTTGGAAAATTTGTGTTCTTTGGGATGCATTAGTGTGCAACGGACATTAAGTCCGTATCAGACTATAAATTAGAGGTGCGTTCCTTTATTTACTGCGAGTAATGACGCTATGACATCATGAAAATATACTGCTAGTAGTGTTCCGTTTTAATTTCGAGCACTGTCAAGGTGCTGCAAGATGACAAATGGGAACGCACCACCTTACTGCCACTACTTTATGATTCCTGCACACAGGACACGGTAATGCTTGCCGCGCGGTGGAAGTCCCCGCAACAGCCAATCAATATGTTGGTTTTCCACAAGAGCTAGAAGGTTATTACGGAAAACAGCATATTGATTGGCATATTGATTGACTGTCGCGCGAACTCCGCGCGGCAAGCATTACCTAAAGGCCAAATCACACTAGCGATTGGCGATTGACGATTGACAATTAAAGATTAGATTTTAACAAATCAACAAGCTTCAGCTTTGGCTTGCTTTGTTTCAATTGGTCAAGTTCCAATCTTCAATCGTCAATCATCTATCGCCAATCGTTAGTGTGATTTGGCCTTTAGGTCCGATTGTTCCAACCTCTTGGGCTGCG